TTGTCCATCTATTAAGATGATCATGTAATTTTTGTACTTGCCTCTATTCATGTGATGCATTGTATTTATTGGTTTGCATATGTTGAATTGCTTTTGCATCACTGTAATGAAACTATCTTGGTCATGATGCATGATCTTTTAATGATTTACTGCATTCTATTTTCCAGTAAATTGTTGAAATTTTGTGTGTGTGTTCATCAAGAAAATTGGCCTTTTTTAGTTGAACGATTGTCTGTTTTGAATGGTGAAGAACAAGTCCTGTGTTTTTGCTAGATTTTAGCTTGTTATTTCTCCTTCAATTTCTTTGCTTCTTTTTGGATTTTTCAGCTTTTGAATGTCTTTTTGGTTCAGTTTTGGTATTTCATATGTATCCAAGAATCTATCCATTTCTTTTGGAGTCTCCAATTTATTGGAGTGCAGTTTTTCAAAGTAGTTACTAATAATCTTCTGTGATTTTGTCTTTTTTGATTTTTCATTGCATTAATTTATATCTTTTCTTTTTTGATAAGATTGGATAAGCATTTTTTCAATACGTTTATTATCTTGAAGAACCAGGTCTTTGATTCCTTGCTTCTTTATATTGTTTATTTTAGTCTCCATTTCATTAATTTCTGTTCAGTTTTTATAATTTTCTCTCTTGTATAAGCTTTCAATTTGGATTGTTCTTGTTTTTCTAGGACGTTGAGGTTTATCATTAGGTTATTTATCTAGTCTCACTTAATTTTTTCTTCTGTGGGCATTCACTACAATAATTTTTTTTTCTTAAAACTGATTTCATTGTGTCCCATAAGCTCTGGTATGTTGTACTGACATTATTGTTTGATTGCACAAACTTTCTAATCTTTTCTGTAATTTCTTCTGTGACCAATTGATTATTCAAGATATATTGTGTAATTTGCTTACATTTAGATTATGTCTGTGGTTTAAGTTGCCATTGTTTTTTTGTTTGTTTGTTTGTTTCATTGCACTGTGTTGTGATGACACTATAATTTAAATTATTTTATATTACTGTGTGGTCTATTTTGGAGAATTTTTCATGTGCTGCTGAGTAGAATGTGTATTCTGTTCTGTTGGATGGAATACTCTGTATATAACTATTAAGTCCATTTGTTCCAGAGTGTGGTATGCTTCTTTGTTGATTAGTTTCTATAGTTGGTCAGTCTGTGCTGGTGGGATATGAGGTCTTTCACATTGTGTTGTTTATCTGATGTTTAAGATCAAGTACTGTTGTTTTATGATGTTGGATGCACTTGTGTATGTTGTATGTATGTTAATAACTATGACCTCTTGCTGTTGAATTGTTCCCATAACAATGACATTCTTAGCTTATTTTGATAATATTTTGCTTGAAGTTCACTTTGTCCGAATCTGTGCTGTATACTCTGCTTGTTTTGTAGTACCCATTGCACAGGATACATTATTTTTCATCCTTTGATTTTTAGTCCATGAATTTGTTTTTGGATGAAATATGTTTCCTGTATACAGCGTACAGTTGAGTTTTGCTTTTCAATCCATTCTATCTGTATCTTTATATTGAGGAATTTAGAATATTCACTTGGAAAATTATTACTGAATATTACTGAAAGATATTGACTGATTCCTGTCATTCCATTATTTACCTATTGCTGATTCTTTTCCCCCTTTTGCTTGAACACTCACTTTGCCTCTTTTATTCATTCCTTTAGACCTTTTGTCATTGTTATCTTAATTATTTCTTTGAAAGATACTCTTTTTTAATTGATAGCAAAGTTTTTTAAATGTATGGAAGAAAACAGGCTTTATAGAGTTTGGATCAAGTAGAATCAGGAAAAGAAGTGCAAAAGTGGAATACTATGAAGAAGCACGAGAGCTTCTTTTGAGGATATTCTTGAGAAATTTTTGGAATGCTAGCTTTGTGGTCATGTAGTATTCTTTGTCATGGAAATATCTTCATCAATTTTGAAAGATAGATTTCCAGGATATATTAGTCTGGGTCAAAAATCATTTTCCTCTAGGGCTTGCAACACTTCATTCTAAGCTCTTCTGGGCTTTAAGGTCTGTTTTGAGAAATGTGTTGTTATTCTACAGGGTTTATATTTGTAAGTGAATTTTTGCTTTTATCTAACAGCTTTTAAGATTGGGTGGACTTCTGAAATTCTGCCTATGATGTGTCATGGAGAAATAGTTTTCTCTTTGAACTATTTAGGGGTCTAGTATATGCTTCACTTACTTGTATATTAAATTCGTTTTCACATACTTGGGAAATTTTTCTGCTACTATTTCTTTAAGCAGATTTTTAAAATGCCAGTTGTGTTGTCTTTTGACTTTTTTTTACTAATTACAGTTAATCTTAGATTAGTTTTCTTTGTGTCATCTATTAGCTGTTAGATATATCTTCCAGTTCTGACACTTTCCTCACATACTTCCCTGCTTTTGTCTATACTTTCAATAGAGTTTTTACTGTAAATTTCTATTTGCTATATTTTCATGGACTCTAATCCTTTACTAAGCTTTTTATTCATGTTTTGTATCATTTTATTTATCTCAGATAGTTTTTCATTAGATTCAACAATCATTTCATTTATTAAGTCCTTTATCTATTGACTTATTTGCTCTTTGAGCCTGCTGAGCAATTTATTGATGTGATGGGGGTTTTGTGTCTTATTTTTGTTGTTTTGTGTAATTCACTTCTGTGGTTTTTGATTTATTCCCTATCAATACTCCGTGGATCAGCTTCTGGAAAGTTGGGAGTTTTTTGATGAATTTTGTTGCTTTGCTTTCTCATGTTTCTATTTTTTTTTCTGTATTTTGCTCCTGGTCTGTACCCCACGATTTTTATTCTCAAATTCTGCTCTTTTAAAATGCTATAAATTACTAATTCCTACTCTACCTTTTGAATCATTTATGTGATTGTGGTTGTAACTTTTTATTACATTATAAATACATAATCGCTGGGTGCAGTGTAATCCCAGCTACTCATGAGACTGAAACAAGAGAATTAAAGTTTCAGGACAGGACAATCTGGGAAATTTATAAAGACTCTGTCTCAAATACACACACACACACACACACACACACACACACACACACACACACACAGTGTTGATGTGGGATTTTAGTTTAGTGGTAGGGTACTTACCTAGTATGCTCAAAGCCTTAAATCTGATCGTTTTACTGAAAAAAGACATAAAGTTAGAAATACATAACATGGACACACAATTCCTCCATTTCCTTTCTTTAAAAATTACCATTCATGAACTTTCAAAATTTTATTTTATCTTTTGTTAGTGTATATTAATTATATATATTAATGGAGTCCAATGTGACATATATGTATTTTTTAAAGGCACGGTCTTGATGTGCTTCCAAGACCAGTATCATACTCCTCGTCTCAGCAATCCTCTTGCCTCAGCTTCCTGAGTAACAGAAACTATAGGCATGCACTATTATACCCTAGTGTCATATATGGACACATATGTACAGCTTGTATTGATCAAATCAGGGTGATTAGCATTTTCCTCTCCTCACCATTTCTTTATAATTGGAGTCTTTGATCACTGTTATTCTATGTATCTTCACAAAATATATTAGGTTATTCTGAGCTACAATTATCCCACTGTGCTGTGCAACACTGGAATTTATTTTTTCTATCTAATGGCGTTTTGGTAACCACCATTTAACTTCCTTTTATCCAGCCTTTCCTCTCCAACACACAATTTTTAGTCCCTAGTAGTAATTCTTCCTCATTCAAGTACACTTTTTTCAGCTTCTACATATGCATGAGAACACATGGTATTTGTCTTTCGGCGTTGGACTTGTTTTGCTTAATGCCTTCCAGTTCCACCCATTTTGTTATCAACAACAAAATTTTTTTATTGTTTGTGTCTGAATATTAAATTTTTATATATTTCATATTTTCTTTATCCATTCATCTCTTAAAGGGCACTTAGGCTGAATATCTTAGATGTTTTTGAATAGTGTCACTATAAACATGAAAGTTCAGGAATCTCTTTGGCATGGTGATTTCATTTCCTTTGATTTCATACCCACAGTCAAGATTTCTGGATCATATGGTAGATCTATTTTTAGTTGTTGAGAAACTTCCGTACGGGCTATAACTTCTTAAACGTGTTTAAATGTTTCCTTTCCTCCACATTCTTACCAACATGTTATTTTTGTTTTTTTATGAAAAAATAAAACAAACTAAAGAGAATAACAATAGTTACTACACTGCATATTATTATCTTGAAAGTAGTTACTCAATATGAGAAATAAATCAAAATGATTCTTACAAAAAAGAAACAGTAGCACAAATTTTCTTTTCAGCAAATTGAGATAAACTATTAGATATATGTTAATCACAATTCTTACTACAATAGATGGATATCATATTATGTTTTTGTTTTACATTTCCCTGATAACCAGTGATGCATACCATTCTTTTCATGTTTGTTGGCCATTTGTATTTCTTCTTGTGAGAAGCAGTTATTCAAATATTTATCCTGTTTTTAACTGGATTGTTTTGTTGTTTCTGCTCTTGATTACTTTAGGAGAAGACTAGTTTATTATCTAACACCTTTGTTTTTTTCCTTTTTATACTGGCTTCCTTTTCAGTCTCTTCAAAGAGTGAGCAGAGCACTAAAAGATGAAACTAAAATCAGTAATTTTTGCTCTCAGTAATCCTTGAGATCTTGCTACATAGTGGTGGGTGTTTCAGGAATTTGAAAATGTTGGTTAAAATTAAGCTGGATGATTAGGTATAGGAATTAATTATCCATATTTTCCTCTTAGTACCCTAGGATAAATTGTAAATTTTGTGTAAACAAAATAAAATGAGCTTTTGTGATCTCATTTCCTACATTTGAAATTAGGCTATTTTAATCCAGTAATTAATTATGCTGTGATTCCTAGATATTTTGCAGTATTGCTAATATATTCTGATAATTTTTAACTGTCCTGTTAAAAACCTATTCAATGACCTTTGTTTTTAAATTGTTATTGCTTTATTTACTTATTGCTAGATGGTTTCCGGAAGGTAATCGGATTGGAGAATGGAAAGACTGACCAGAAAGCACCAGCTATGGAATTTCAGCATCCATTATTCAAAAAGGGAGGAGCCAATTTTCTAGAAAACATCAAGCGCAAAGTAGGAGGACTATTGTCTCACGTTTTTCTGTAAAAAATTTGAGTTGCAGCCAGTCCTTCCTTAATTTAAATATTTTATAGTTTCTTTAAGTCTTAAGGTTAAAAATTGTTGCTGAAATTTGCCAGCTGGAAACTCATTTGCTGGATACTTTTTTTCTGATTCTCTAGAAAGATGACCTCTTGATACTGATTTGTTCAAAGTTTTATCACTTTTTCTGAGTTATGTTTTATTGCTTTGTATGTTTTTACCATGTACGTGCAAATGTAATATTTTAGGAACTAAGCAGAGGAGACCAGAAAAGGTTAGGAAGTTACTTTACTTTTATATATTTCTTAATAAGCAAAATAACTGCTGATGCTGTCTGCTCACACCCAGATAAATCAAAACAGAATATAAATAGTAACCCGGGTTTCCACTCATGAGATGTCTATGCAAGTTGGTAGGGAAAATTTTGTTCACAAAAAACTGTTTCTGTAATTTTAAAACAACATAATCTTCATTTTACTTGTAGAAAACTTGTGATGACCTCCTACATTAGATGAAGTAGAAGAATGAAAGACAAAGAGAAATTAAGTTAAATCAGAATCCAATCCCATTATAAATATTTATGTATATGAACTAATTTATATCTAATTTTAGTTTATAACTTCTACATGGGAAACAGTGTTTCTCGTGTACCATTAATTATTGTAACTGACCATCTTGGTACTTAGAACAAAAATCATATTCTTGTTTTCTTATGCAAGAAAACAAAGCCCTCAAATGTTTTTTTTTCTAATATTTTGTTAACTTGTGAGCATTTGAGTCCATTGGTTTAGTGAGTTTTTGGGAATGATACATTCCATCCATAGAGATGATTCAGTTATGGGTTAAGCAAATGATAGGTGATATCTTCATTATCACTGAATCACAACAGGCATTGAATTTACTCCAAATGTAACTGCACTCTCTTCTGAATCTTAATAAAATATTGTATATTAACTGTGGTGCTCATTTAGTGTTCATTACATACTGCTTTTCATAGTCATCTTGTATGTTTAAATATCTAGACTTTCCTCTTGTTTTTTTAATTACACAAGGGATATTTGACACATAACCTCTTTTTTCAGAACTCAGGTTTAAATGAAATGAGATATATTTTAAAATTAATACGATATCCTATGTGTTAGAGTCACAGATAATCACTCCTAACAGGGAGGAGCTGGGTAAAGGTGAGTCACGTATAAATATTTTTACATTTTCTATTTTGTTACAGTTCTTGGTTTACATATGTTATTCTCAAAAAGTATATTTTAAATTATGTAAGGATAATTGTGATTTATCCATTTTTGTATAAAAATGTACCCCTTTTTAGTAATTTATAAATTTTACTCAAAATATATGCTGAATTTAGTACATATTTATTGTTGTTCAACTATGTGTAAGGTATTGGGCTGCGAACTGAAGAAAAGAGGATAGCAGGAGACAGTATTTCTAATGGTTCAGAAGATTTTAACTTAGATGATAATGTATATAATAACTGTTAAATGTGAAATGGCTACAACAAAAGTACACTTAAATAATTTGTTCTACTGTTACAGATTAATTATGCTTCTTTTCCCTTTCATAAGTGCCCATAATAAAGTTGTTGATATTTCTAACCAGCCCAACTGTATTTGGTTTCCACTGTAGGTGCCATCAGTGAAAATGGAAGATATGAGAACCTGCTCTGATGAGTTGCAGAGGATGATGACTGAAGTACAAGAGATGGGTGACAAACAGAGCAACATGGATGTCAGCTTTTCCAAACTGAAAAAGTAAATGTTAATCATGATTCCCAATGCCTGTTTTGTAAGGTTTTAAGGTTAATTTCTTGTAGGTGGAAAAATGAACACTTGCCAGCGATTTAGTTGAGCAGCATAGGCGCTAGGTTGTGAGCTTGATCCCCAGTTTAAAAAAAAAAAAAAAAAAACGAAAGAAAACTGAGCACTTGTTTTCTATGGCACTTTAGTGTGGTTTCACTTAGGGAAACCACGGCAGTCAGTCAAAAGGTTTAGTAGTACCTGGAATGCTGTTAATATTCCAGTGGCTCTGATCTTGTATTTCTCCCCTGGTGAGCACACCACTGTATAAATCAAAAACATATTGTAGAATTTGGATTATATTAGATCACAATTAAAGCTCATTTTGTATAAGAAGTTTTTAGTCTCTTATTCTGATACAACTTGTCTCTTATATGGTTCATGCTAAATACAGATATGTTCATTTAGTATAAGCTCACTGAATACTTAGCTGTTTTGTTCAGTCTTCTATGAAGTATTGTTCTACTCTTGTAACTGGTGAGAAGAAATTTAAATTAATATTTTCTTGATTTGTAATAATTTTTACGTTCTCAAGTCTGTAAGAATAAGTATTAAGGTAGTCTATGTTTTCAAAAATACTAGTGTAGGAGCTGGGGATTTGATTCAGTGGTAGAACTCTTGGCTAGCATGCACAAAGCTTTGGGTTCAATGACAAAAAGAACTAAATGACAAAAGTATTAGTGTAATGGACTAATTAACAAAAATTGAAAAGAATTAAAATTTAAGCCTGTATTAATCAAGTAGTATAGTAGGAAGATAATCTTCCTGAAGAACATCATGAATACTGTAACCCAGATACTTCAATATATGATTACCTGTTGTAGCTTAAAAATTCTAGAGATATTTCTATTCTGTTTCATTTGGAAAATATGCTGTATTGCAGGCAATACACAACACTTTGGCTTGAAATGAAAAATCTCAGGCAGAAGTATGGTGAGCAACAGCAGCTATTAACACAGGTATCAGTTCAGTTTTAAAGGATTTTTCTTTTTCTGTACATTTTTGATTGGAACTACTGTATGGCATTGTTGGTTTAGATACAGAATGATTTTACTATACAGTCCTGTGAAAGCGAAAAGAAAAGTATATTAATTTTTAGTTAAGTGTAGTGGAATACCAGTAGCCTTTCTCTTTATCTATGAATTTCTCTAATTATTGAGTATGATAGCCTAATTAAAACATTATCTGTGATTTGTTTTTAGATTCTTCAGTTTATCTTGTGTTTGATGAGTGAAAATCATATGGTAAACAAAAGTAGAAAAAGGTAAATTTATTGATTCCAATTATTTTCTTGATTACAGAAGTACACTTTATATTCAAAATCATGTCTCATAATTTTCCTTTTTCTAAACTCATTCATTTTTAAAGTTAGTGCACTTAGCATATGTGAATTGTATATGCAACATCAGGATGAAATGATAAATGGCATGGTTTTGCATGCCTATAATCACAGAACTTGGGAAGCTGAGGCAGGAGGATTTGCTGCAAGTTCAAGGCCTTCCTGGACTATTTAGTGAGATCCTGTCACAGAAAAAAGAAGTGATACAAGACTAACTTGCTATGGCATGATCAAGGTAGATGTACCTTACTTGCTGGCTTTGGTTGTAGATTGTTTCTGTCTATGTCCTTAAGGTAGATTTTAGGGCTGTCAGTACTATTGTACTGTAGTCAAGTATCAGTTTTTCTAAGGTTTCTAGTCACCTCTAAGGACAGGTGGAATAGGATACCTTTTCACAATGTTTGTTTTTTAACACGTTTAATTATTTGTTTGCTGCTGGGCTTTAATCCAGGACCTCGTATGTGCTGTGCACATGCTCTGTGACCAAGCTAATACCCATGGTCCTGAATCCCTTCTTATACTTCCACAGAGATTCACCTGCAATAAATTGGAAGATATTCTTCAATGTTGTTAGAGTTATGAAACTTATGTAGAGATTCTTTTACAAGATATTACCCTGACCAGAGAGAATGAAACCATTTCACTTATAATTTCTGATACAATTAGGAGTTTTCAACTCCATCCTAACTGGATGCAATTTAAAACTGTTAGAGTATTGTCTAAGACCTTAGAAGACAGAATATCTAATTATAAAAATAGTTTTGTAAGATACTAACTTGTTGTACCTCAAGCACAAACTCTTACATTTTCAACTTGATTTTTCAGACTTGATTAAGCAATTTAACACCAATGGATAGTAATTAATGACTAATGTTATTGAGTATGTACAGAATGTTAAGCCATAGTTATAACCATAAGTTATCTCATTTAATTCTCAGAAAAATTCTATTATATAAGCTCTAACATTTTCTTCATCTCACAGATGTAAATACTTACTGCATATTTCCTAAGAACAATGACATTTTCTTACAAAACTGCTGTGCAGTATCAAAATTAGGGAACAGCATTGGTTTAACACTATTTTCTAATCCTTGGTTCATACTTGAGTTTTATCACTTGCATCAGTGATGCTCTTTATAGCCACAATCTTCTTTTTCACTCCTCTTCTTTGTTTCATACATACACTATGCTTACTTATTATATCTTACTTGTTTAACCATAAACAGTTCCTCAGCCTATCTTTGTCTTTCATGACTTCAACATTTTTGAAAGCGTAGGCTAGTAATTTTTGGTAGAGTATAAAGTGAGCATACTTTCGATTTGGTCTAGAGTCACGAGTGTAATCAGATTATGCTTTTTGGCAATAATATCAAAATGTGGTTCTGTGTTCATATCAGAGACACTTGATGTCAGTTTTTGCCCTTATTATTGATGCTATGTTCACTTACATTAAGGTCATGTCCCCCAAGAGTGTCATCACTTAAGAGTGTCACCACTCTTAAATTGCTATTTTCCTTTTGTATTTATCTTAGGGGAAGATAGTAAGTAATTTTGCAACTTGCAAAGATTCAAGTTGCAAAATTTCATGGATATGAACAGACTTCATATTATGAGCATACATAGATGTAAACAAATCACAGAAGTAGCGTACTTGTCTACCACACAATTTTAAAGTAACTACAAAAGTAAAAATAACTTGTTTACAGTATTTTTGTGTGTGCTTGATTGTTTTATTACATTACATATTTGTGTCAAATTTGTATAAGATTTACTTTGGCAGATTTATGAATGAATCAAACTTACGAATGTTGTCCTAGAATGGAGCTTCTTTGTAAGTAGCAGATGTACTGTACTTGAGTCTATTAAATACTGTTATCAAAAATGTATCCATAGATTTTAGCATTGATTTAGGATTCTTAACATGTTACTATAATACAGATATTACTGTAATAGAGATATTACTCATTTATCAGCCAACTTCCATTCCTGTGACTAGGCTGTTAAATGAATTGATCTTTAAATTAAGAATTGTTTGTAGTGTGACCATTATAATATGTATTCAGAACAAACAGTGAAAGAGGACTCCAACTTTATGACTTTCCTTTTATCTGTATAACTCTTATATGTACCGCTGTAATGTATAACAGAATATAAAACTATAGTACTGTAAGTACAATGAACAAAAAATACAGTACTATGTAAACAAGAGATATCTCTGCTTCAGCCTTCCAAGTGCTGGGCTTGCAATCACATACCAGTATGCCCAGCTTCATTGCTTGAATTTTTTTTTGTTTTTTTTTTGTTTTTTTTTTTTTGTTTTGTTTTTTTTTTTTGTTTTTAGTATACACTGAGTCAGCTAAAACTAAAGAATAAGAGGGGAAACCAGACCTTGGAAGGATATCTGATTCCAGGGTTGGAACAGGCAAAGTACAAATTGAATCTAGAATTCCTATTATGCCAAAAGCAAATAGTCAAAATGGTGAGAATGTACCTATCAATGGACATATTCTAGTAAGGATAATAATCTTTTGAGTAAAATAAGATTCCGTGATTTCACAATTATATAAATAAATAAATATGAAAGTAGGAAATGTTCTTCCTTAGAACACAAATTAAAAATGTAGAGGAATGATATGACTAGAAAATCAGTACAGACATTCTTCATTTAATAAGCTACCTGTTTAACAACTGTTTAGACTTACCATCTCCTGCTCATTTACGACTCATCTTTTTTTTTACACAGTTTTGTATATCTTGTTTGAAGAACTTCAGTGTCTTGGGGCTAGCTTAAGCTACACCGTGAGACCTTGTATGAAAAATCCAAAACAATAATAATTGAAGATTTTAAGATGTCTTTAGGTAGACATAGAAGAAAACATATGTAGTAATAATATTCTAGGATGCCAATAATTCTACTAAGTTATAATTTGGGTTATTTTTTGCCCTCGTTGATGGTGATATCCTAAAATATTTATGTTTAATGGGCTATTCTGATGAAAGGTGTTTAATATTAAGTTCTTTACTACAGAGTGGGCTGACCATTGCAACACTAGGATAATTTGCAGAAATGAAATCTGGGTGTCATTACAGGTCATTACCAGTCATATCTGAACTTGAAGATTCCAAATGTGCTCCTCAGTATTTCCATATCCCAGAGGAGAGGAAAGAAGAAGCTGTAAGATTCTAAAATAAGATAATGGTGGTGGGTGGGCAAAAAAAACCTATTTACTGTAAGTTAAATTTTCAGTGTCTGTTACTATTATTTCTCACACAGTTGTTGAATAGTCTCAAAGGAAATAGTACCACTTCTGGTCTGAGAAAGACTAGGTGCATATGCAGGTGTTTGATCAATTCTGATTTCCCCTGACTCTCCTATTTAGATGGCGATAATAAAAGATGGTTATGCGATTATTGAAGACAAATATAAAAGTCTCCTTGACAGTGGTCTACCTACTTTGAGAAGTGAATACAAAAACTTGGTTTCGTCTGTGGACCAAACAAATAGAGATCATAGGTATGCAACTGTTTGGGCAATGTTTTGGTAATGAAATGTAGTATTATCTGCAGCTGGGTTAAAGCATAGGCTATATTCTGTTTTTAAAGAAACGAAAATGCTTTCCTTCAGTTACAAAATTAACACTGCTGACTTCCTCTCAGTACATTATGTATTTCTGCTTTTTTCTTAGTCATTCTGCAATCTATGTTCTTGTGCAGTACTTCTTATGACTCCCAAAACACTTGCAAAACAGTTTGACCTGTGTATAAAGTAGTGCAATCATTGAAGCAATAAAGTATGAAAACAAAGCTTATTTATATACATATATGATCAATACCTTTGTTACATGTTGGCAATAGCCAGTTTAAAAATCTTATGGAAAAAGCCTTATTCAAAAAAAAAAACAACAAAAAATTATGTTAGCAACTACTATAAATTTAATAAGTATAGAGAGTCTATTTGGGGAAAATATGTTTGTGAGTTTTTATATGTGAATATCATTTTTATGGAGACATAATATTCATTCACTTGTATATGGTGCATTATGGTAATTTAATACATGTACATAATAGGCAGCAACCAAATGAGAGCATTTAGCCTTTCCACTTCTTCATTGGTTAATCATTTATATTTGTTGGAAATTCCATATGATTCTAATCATTTTGAAATACAACACAGACTGCTTTAATGAAGTTATTCTATGGTGCTGTAGAAAACCAAACTAATTCCTCTTCTATAACTATGTTTTGGTACCTTTCATTTAATTTCTTTCAGTGCCCTTCCCCTACCCGTGCCATCTTCTAGTGACCACCATTTCACTCCATTCTTCTAAAACATTGACTTTTAGTTTCTACAGATAAACAAGATTACATGCTATATATCATTCTGTTTCTGGTCTATTTTGCTTTACACAATGAACTCTATAGTTTCATCTATGTTGCTGCAAATGACAGGATTTCATTTCTTTCCAGAATTGAATAAAACTCAAAGTGTATTTTGCATATACATCACATCTGTTCACACACTGTTGGAACTCTAGATTAATCCCAGATTTCAGCTATTGTAGCATTGCAACAAACTTAGAGTATAAGTAGATTTAGTATAATGATCTCATTTTCTTTGGATGTGTACTGACCAGAGGCATTGATGGGTTTATGGTAGTTTTATTTTAGATTTTTGAGGAATCTTCATAATAATCTACATAATGTCTATGCTAATTTACAAATTTACAATTCCTACCAACAGTGCATAACAGTCCCCTTTTCTCTGCATCCTTACCAGCATGTATTATTCTTTGTCTTTCTGGTGATAGTCATTTGAAGTGGATGGATAGCATCTCATTGTGATTTTGATTTGCATGCTCCTAATGATTAGTGACGTGGGGGCATTTTTAAATATACTTTTTGCCATATTTCTATCTTCTTTTTAAAAGTTACTTAGATTTTTAGATTATTTTAAATGCATTATTTGTATATATACATATATATATAAAGATATATATATATATATATATATATATATATATATATAGAGAGAGAGAGAGAGAGAGAGAGAGAGAAAGTGGGGGGGCATACTAGAGATTGAGCCCAGGGTCTTACACATACTAAACAAGCACTTTACCACTTTACCACATTGTCAGCCCAGTGTATATCAGTTTTAAGGGTATGTCACAGATACATGGATGTTAAATATCTGGGTGTCTGTTGAGGAAAGTTACTAGTCCAGACATCTCAATTCTTAGTTTTGTCTGTAGGAGTAGAAAGAAGAGCCAAATGGAAAATCATTATGTTTGGTACAGGATGGTGAGAGAGTTTCATAAAGGGATATCTGACAACGAGACTCTTGGAGGAGAGCTTTCCAGTGGAAGATCATGTAGCAGGAAGAATATCATGAAATATCTTTTGGAAGTATAAGAAACCTGAGGTAGCAAAATATTTTAGGAGGGAGTGTTTAAGGGAAAGGTCATTATGGCTATAACCAAAGGTACCTTAGTACCTGAACATATAAAGAGAAGCAAACCACTGTGTCAATTGTGTCTGGACCTGAGGTGTTTAACGAGTAAAACAACAAGAAAATTGCAGATTTCTGGGCAAGGAAATAGGAATGTACAGAGTTAGTTCTTGAATTAAATTTTTCCACAGATAGCCATTGTCCCTTAAAGCCAAAAGCACAAAAGTTGTCTATCTGGGTATTGGCCCAAAAGAGTCAAACACATATGAACAGAAGTGTGGAATGCTAACAATAGCCACATTTGAAAAACAGAGTATACCAGAGAAGTTTTTTCCTAGAAAACTAGAGAGAAAAATATCAGTGAATCTCAGATTTTATAGCATCTAGAGTGTTAAAATGGTAGCAAATGATATTTGAACATCTACACAATGAGACATAGAAGCTAAATTTAAAACTTCAACTTTCAGGGAATCTATACTAAGTCATGGATATTTGACAGTCTTCTAAAGTAGCTACTCAAAAAGAATATGGAAAAAGCATGGTAAACTATCCAGCTTGATTTTGAAATGTGCTTGAAAACTATAGTGAATGTCTAAATTTAAAATAATTTGTTATAATAAAAGACTGTCATTAATTCCTTTAAAATATTTCCCCTAGGCTGGGGATTTAGCTCAGCAGCATAAGTGTCTGCCTTGCAAGCGCATGGCCGTGAGTTCAATCCCTGGTGCCGCCAAAAACAAAAAAAAAAGAAGTATTCTATAAAATATTTCCCCTAGTTTGTAGCACACTTATCCCATCATTCTTGCCACTAAGTAGCTACTGACGTCGTTTTTCATGAATGCCTTTATTTGTGCTGTCTTGGCCACCGTAATGTGCTGTATCTATTCAAAATGTTTATCTTTCATGGTCATTTTGACTTTAGCGAAGAGCCAGAGGTCACATGGAACCAGATCCAGTGAATAAGGTAGATGAGGACACACTAATGTTTTGACATGCGTGCCTTTCCATTGGATGTCACTTACCTTACTTTTGATAACACTTTTTCTAGATCCTCACAGACACTTTTATTTATTTCACTTAGCATTATGGTCTCAAGCGCCATCTATTTTCCTGCACATAAGTCAAGTTACCTTTCTTCATGGCTGAATACTACTCTGTTGTGTATATATGCTATGTTTTCTTTGTCCATTCATCTGTTGGTGGGAATATAGGTTGCTTCCATGATTTAGCTATTGTGTATTTTGCACTTAGAGTATTATTTTCAAAGTTCACCCATGTTGTATAATAAATCAATACTCCAGTTATTTTTATTGCTAAATGAAATGACATGACAGGAATGTAACACATCTTAGTTATTTATTTATCAGCTAATAGACACTTAATTGATTTCCATTTTTTGAGGTTATGAAGAATGTTGCTATGAACATTTACAAGATCATTTGCATTCGCTTGAATAGATAAAAAATGGAATTGCTAGAAATTAATAGAATTGCCAAGCAAAGTGGTGCATACCTGAGGCAGGAGAATCACAGCAAATTTGAGGCCAGCATGTGTTACATAGTGATTCAGGGCCGGTCTGGACCAAATAGCAAGAGCCTGTGTCGAGAGAAAGACACACAGAAAGAGAGAGAGAGAGAGAGAGAGAGAGAGAGAGAGAGAGAGAGAGAGAGAGAGAAAGAAAGAAAAGAATTGAATGGAAAATCATATCTAACTTCTTAACAATTGTCAAACTGTTTTCCAAAGTGGATATATCATTTCACATTCATTTCCACTAGCAGTGTGTAGTAGTTCCTGTTTTTCTATATTTTTATCATCTTTTGTTATTATCTGTTCTTTTAATCATAATCATTCTGGTTATGATAAATATTTTTCATTAAGTTTAGGTACTAGAATGGTTGACGTATCACAATGTTTAGCATTGCATTAAACAATATGTGAATGAAATTAAAGGAGAGCTGGTTGTTACATTAAAATCATTTGTTTTGAATATTGAAAATTTTCTAATATTATGTAACTGATGAATATGCTATAGCACATATAATTTGAGCTGTTGTAGTATGTCAAATTCATATCATCTATGTTATTTCTCAGAAAAGATCCTAATATTTCAAGTCAAGAAGTACCTCTGAGTGAAGATTCAGCACTCACAGATTTGGATTTGGTCATACCAGATTTACAAGACCTAATGACTATGGAATCCTTTGAACAGGAAACCGAAGATATGCCTTTGGAGTTAGAGTCTTTGCTTTCGCAGGACATTGAGTCAATGTTGACTGAAGATAAATCTAATGTTCATTGTGATACTATAACGAACAGGTACACAATCTCTTAACATGTCCTCTGCATATTTTTAGGACACTTTTTATTCTTTTCATAATGCAGAAAACACTTTGGATAGATCTGAGGAAAGGCAGGTATATAACAATAGTTTGTAGAGTCTGAAAAACACCTCTGCCCACTCTTTCCCTTTTGTTTCCAAAAATCCCAGAAGCATTATTTTGAATAATGTTGGGAATTTGGGAATCCAAGTGTGCAGTTAGTGACCTAATTTTAGCTGAGAGGTAGTGTAATACTTTGCTGTATCCATGGTTGCATGTCTGAATGTTGAATCAAGGTTTCATTTTGAAACCTTAACAAATCAGATATTTTAAAAGGAAACATTAAATTATGATGGCTACTTCATACTGGCACTTAGTTCTAATAAGTGATTTGGGTTTCTGAAGCAACTGTGCATGTTGATTTTCAGACATATATAATTCTGAGTTTTGAAAATTAACAGTTTATACAAAGCATAATACGATGAGTGAAGCAATATGTGATTAAGGAAACACATTCCTTAGAAACCTCCACTCCCAGCTTTATCACTGTTTTTCATGTACTACGTATGCACTCTTTGGTAATATATTTGGTGTTTCACTCTCTGTAGTCTTCTGAAAATGAGAGTTAACCATTGGCAGTGTAAAACCCTCCCTCCCTATTTAATCCAAAAATTGGTCAAATTAGGGCAAAATCTTTTGCTTGGCACAGAACTGTAAGAAAAAATACGTCTTGATTTTCTCAAACTAAATTCTGTGCGTTTCAGCAGAAATACTACAAAACTGGAGACACAAAGGCTCTATCATCAGCAAAAATCTGGCCACAAAATCCTGAGTGACATGTAGAGGAAGAATGACTGCTTAAATTTCAACCTCATAAGCAATGGTTACATTTCTCTGTTTAAATGCTTTATCAACTTATCTTTGAATTATTTCCTTCCTTCATTTGTAGCCTACCCTAGAGAGACAAAGGTCATGTATGGGCTTGGTAGACATTTTTACAAAAATAGCTTCCTGAAACACACACCTTAAATGGGGCCCTAAGAGTTTTCAAACATATCCTAAACTTTAGTGTGGATCCTCAGACTTGCGCTAAAGGGACTGCTACAGACAATGAACTTAACTGCATTCTTCAGGGCACAGGGCATTCCTTAGAACCTTAATGGATCATGGCAACTCTTGTCTATTAAGATGATTTTCCTGAGTTGCATTAACACTACCTAAATTTCCCTACAAAGGCAGGTTCAAGTTCAGCCAGATTGGCAAAGCCGCAAGAAAGAACAAAAGCTTCCTATGTTAATGACATGTAAGAATTTAATGGCATTTGGTTTCTTGAAGTCAGGCTAAATAATGATTGTTGAAAACAGTGCAACTGGTAGTCCTCATAGGACCTGATTTTCCTAGTGAATGGGATCACAAAATGAAGTCAAGAGCTGTAAAATAGCATAAAGTCAAAATATAAAAAATTTTTGCTCACTGTCAACTCATCTGTGTCACACTCTCTTAAATCCATAGCTCTCATTTATTGATAAAATTCAGGTTGAGCGATGCCCATGGAGAGGAATACCGTCATTTCAAAGACTAAGTTTGGAGCATATAGAATTTCATAAATGGAAGGCTATAGGTCACAAATTACCTCAGTACATTGTTGTGATGCCTTGCATATTTTCTCTGATTGAGGATAGTGACATATCATCTTTTCTTTGCACAAATTGGTGGAAAAACATCTTGTGGACTGATATTTCCTGGGTTGAAGAGTCCTTCCTATTTTTTTCCTATTCAGAATTCTTACAGAATAGAGTAACACAGATTTTCTTACATTCTTCTTTCTGAGGATTTTCAGGCTGAAAACTCTGGTATGTATGCTGGCAGCAGACCACTCTGGATGAATTGTAACAGTTGGTTATGTACTGAAATCCTCTGAACAGCAGTGGGGTTCATTGTCTGGAAGTGAAGTATCTGTATCTGGAAAATGCCATATGATGTATGATTTTTTTTTTGGTTGAGAACCTGAAATAATCTGCAAGTCATTATATTTGGGGTATTTTCTCCAAGTTAGATTACCTTTTTTTGCCATCTGTCATCCTGCTTAGCAATAGAGTTTGTTAATTTCTCACACCTCTATTTTTCCTTCAAGTGATGAAATGCACTACACTAATGGAGAGTTAATGGAACTAACGTCCTTTCTGCCTAAGATGAATGTGAATTATACCTCTGATCTTCTCAGTGAGGTAAGCCTATCCATTCATATTTGAAACTTCATTGTATTTACACAGATTATTCCCAAAGAAGAATGATAAATGGCAATTGACACTGATAATATTAGACCTAGGACTCAAAAGTACTTCTTACTTTGTACTTCAGATTAATTTAATGTATATAGTTTCTATGTCTTGGTTTCCTGAACTAGAAAATGAAGAAGTTATATCTCCTCCTCCATAATATCATAATTTATTATGTGTTATTATGTGGTGGTTTTCCTTGCTCTAACCACTTAAAAATAAGCAATGCAAACATAATCCTTTGTGTAATATGCATTGGTAATAGCTTCTTATGTATCCAAAGTTCTTCTTGTGACATTATTCCTCATTGTTGCATAAAATCCTTTTACCCTATGATTGCAGCAGGTTTAGAATTTAAGTTATTATATTTAGAGTACTTTGCTTATAATTCTTTTCTTTCTTTTTCAGCCAGCCTGTTCTAAACTTCCAAATTTGGTAACAAATGAAGCTGAAAGTTTACTCAGTGTGCATGTTATGACAGGAACAGATGTAAGATTTATTTTATATTTTTATTGCTTTTATACACATTCCAAGTATGAGGTCCTATATTGTACATTTACAGAAAAAGATTTCTATGATATTAGATTATTAATAGTAAATCTTTTGAGTTAAGTGAGTGACTTATGGCATGTTATGTATATTCCCTTACTGTTTTATTCATGCTTTTCTTCTTTTGCCAAAATATTGGCTCTTTACAGAAAAGTTCAGCCTAAATTAATAAATATTTGTAACATTTTACTGTTTTGACTTACATACCAAGTATACCAGTGATCCATGTAGTGAAGTACCAATTGTTTGCTCACACATTTGCAAAGAGATACTGATAAAATAATTGACAAGTCAGACACAATTGTTCACTTCTCATTCCTGCTAACTCAGAAGTCTAAGGTAGAAAGATCACTTGAGTCCAGGGATCCAAGGCCAACTTGGGCAACACAGTGAGACCCTTTCAAAAAAAGGTTGACAAATCCTTTTAAGGAAACTATTACTTTTCTTGGCAATTTCTCTATTTATAAATTATGCAATTTATATAATATTATTTTATCCTGGTCAAAAACTAGACTATGTATTCAGTGAGTTTTTAAAAGGCCTCATATTATGATGATACATATATACTAAGGTTTATAGCACCAAATTCCTAATAGCTAAACCTTGGAAGTAGCCTGTGTCTCCATTAGTACATATATGGATAAAGAAAATGTGGTCTTTACACACAATGGAGAAGTCCTGTAATATAAAAGTAAATGTGTATCATTTGTCAGAAAATGGATGTATCTTGAGACCACAATGTTAAGTGAAGTAAATCAGACACAGAATCTTAAATACTATATGGTTTCTTTTATATGAGAACCCAAATTGTCAATAAAGAGCAAAATAAAACATAATAAGAAGTAGGAAGCTAGACCCTTTTCAAGGAGACAGTGATCAAAAGATAGAGGGGAGAAGAAAAAGTGATGAAAAAATAATAGAGATGTATTGTATACATGTATCAACTCCACATGAGGAGTGTAAACACCATGTTCTGCAAGCATGTACGAATTTTAAAAACATATTTTAAATATCGTGTGCCATGTTGAATAACAGAACTTTTTGAGATCTTGCTTCTTGTGACCAAGGGCACAATGTAGAGTATTTTAGGGAATATTTTAAGAAATTTGTCAGAAAGAAAAAAATGACTACATTAACAGTAGCATTAGAGTGTTACTCATCTGCTTTATTTTCTTAAACACTGCCATATTTTAGAATACCTTTCCTACACATTTATGCTACAAGTTTGTGGATATGGGTGATATTTTTAAAAATTTTATTTTAATGAGGGTAAAATTAAACAGAATAAAACAGATCATAAGAAAACAATGTAACAGACACAGATTTCAAAGCAAGACAACTGGAGATTTTCACTGTCTATCACATTGTCCCTTGTTTTCTTCCAAATAGTTGTCCATATCTTCGCATACAATGAATTCATACAATACAGACTAAAATCACTCTGAAAAAAGCATAATAGTATAGCTGGGTTTCACATCATGGTGCTACGGAATCAGCAATGGATTTTTTAGTGTCTCGTTTTATTCAAAGTAGCTTTTCATTTTATCGTGCATTGTATAATGTCTCTATATGTATACCTATTCTTTCTATATTCGAGGGTAAAACAAAACAAAACAAGACAAAACAAAACAAATTGCTAGAAAAACCCTTGAAGATCATTATGTAAAATAACAACCCTAATTATGTTCATACCATCTTGTTTTGAAGGCCTACATTGTCAGAGTTCTGGGCTCTTTGCTATTACTGTTTGTACGTCTTTTTGGTTTCATGTTTTTCTCTGTCTTGTCTATTTGCTCTGGGTAGTATTTACAGCACCATACTGAATGGGAGTGGTGATAATGGACATCCTTGTCTTGTTCCTGATTTTAGGGTAAAGGCTTTCAGTTTTGGGCAATTTAATATGATGCTGACTGTTGGGTTGTCAGATAGATTTTATCATATTGAGGTAAAGACCATCTATTCCAATTTTCTGTTTTTATCATGAATAAGTGTTGGAAGCTTTTTCTGCATCTATAGAGATGATCATGTGGTTCTTACTTTTGGCTCTATTGATATGATGGATTACATTTATTGATTTGTGTATGTTTAACCATCCCTGCATTCCTAGGATGAATCTGACTTGGTCATGATGTATAACTTTCTTTATGATTTGCTGCATTCTCTTTGTATGATTTGCTGAATTCTCAAAATTTTTTTGAGAATTTTTGCATCTATGTTCATTACAGAGACTTGTCTATAGTTCTCTTTGTTAGTTGGGTCTTTCTCAGGTTTTGGTATTAGAGTAATGTTTACTTCCAAGTTAGGGAGGGTTGTTTCCCTTTCAATTTCATTGAAGAGTTTGATGAGTGTCGGCATTAAATCTTCTTTGAATTTCTTGTAGAATTCTATAGTGAATCCATCTAAATCTGGGCTTTTCTTTATTGGTAGGGATTTAATTACATTTTCAATTTCATTAATTGAAATTGGTTATTCAGCAATTTTACATCTTCTTGACCCAGCTTTGGTACTTCATATGTTTCTAAGAAACTGTCCAATTCTTCTGTGTTACCAAGCCTTTAGAGGTTTTCAAAATAAATATTGATGATCTTCTGTATTTCCATAGGGTCTATAGTGATTTCAACCTTTTCATTTCTTATTGCGTGAATTTGAGTTTTTTCTTTTCTTTTTTAATAAGGTTGGATATAGGCCTGTTAATTTTATTGATTCTTTCAACGAACCAACTTTTTGATTCATTGATTCTTTGTATTGTTCTCTTAGTCTCCATTGCATTGATTTCTGCTCTGACCTTTATAATTCCCTGCCTTCTTTTGGCTTTGGGGTTGACTTACTCTTCTTTTTCTAGATGTTTGAGGTATAGCATCAGGTTATTTGTGTTCATTCTGTTTTCCTGATGTGGGAGTTCACTGCAGTAAATTTTCGTCTGAGGGCTGCTTTCATTGCATCCCACAGGGACCTGTAAGATGTAATTGAATTTTTGTTTGCCTGTAAATATTGTTTAATTTCTTCTTTAATTTTCTCTGGAACCTACTGATTGCTCAGGAGTGAATTATTCAATTTCCATGTGTTTGTGGGGTTTTGAAGTTTCTTTTATCATTAATTTCTAATAACAAGCATGGGATAAGTTCAATTATTTTGCATTTGCTTAAGCATGTTCTGTGGGCTAGTATATGGTGTGTTTTTGAGAATGTCCCATATGCTGCTGAGAAGAATGTATATTCTGAGTTTTAGTGGAACACTTCATATATGTCTACTAAGTCCATCTGTTCACAAGTGTGATTCAGCTCTGTTATTTCTTTGCTGATTTTCTGTCTGGTTGATCTGTCCCTTGGTGTTAATGGTGTGTTAAGGTCTCCTGTTATAATTGCCTTATTGCTTATTTGATTTTTAATTTCTGTTAATATTTGTTTTGTATAGCTGGGTGCTTTCTAATTTGGTGCATAAATATTTAAGATTGTTATCTCTCCTTCCTGAAGTTTTCCCCTAACCAATATTTAGTGTCCTTCTTTATCTCTCTGGATCATTCTTTGTTTGAAGTTCACATTGTCTGCAAACAAAATAGCTGCCACTGCCTTTTTTAAGGTATCTGATTGCATGGAGTATTGTTTTTCATCCTTTGACTTTCACTCTATCAGCTTTCTTTTGGGTTAGATGGGTTTCCTGTATAAAGCACATGGTTGAGTGTTGTTTCTTGATCCATTCTTCCAGTCTGTTTCTTTTAATAAATGAATTGAGGCCATTTACATTAGTGGTTATACCTGATGTACATTGGTTTACTTTTGACATGCTATTTTCTACTGTTAATTCTTTTTTCTTTCCATTCTGTTTGTTTGCCTTGCTTAGTGGTTTTTCCTATGTGTGTCTAGAATGTATTTCAATATTCTTTGCAGACTTGGTTTGGTGATCATGAAATTCTTCAGCTGTTCTTTGTCATGGAAGTATCTTATTTTTCCATCCATTTTTCAGGACAGTTTTCCAGGGTACATCATTGGAAGTCATTTTCCTTTAGGAACTGAAATCCTTCACTCCATGATTTTTTGGCTTCCTTGTTTGTGTTGAGAAGTCTGCTGTGATTCTGATAGGCTTTCCTTTAGAGGTGATCTGTCTCTTCTCTCTAGCAGCTTTTTATATTGTGTTCTTAGGTTGGATTTCTAAGATGGTGATTATTAAATGTCTGGGTGTAGTTTTCTTTGGTTATGGTTATTTGGAGTTCTATATACTTCACTGATCTGTAAGTTAGTTTTCATTCTCATGTTCCAGAAATTTTCAGCTATTACTTCTGTAAATAGCTTCTTGATATTGTTTGTGCTGTCACCTTCCTTTTCATTTATACCTATCAATCTTACATTGTTTTTCTTTGCAACATCTTGCAACTGTTGAATTTTTATTTCCTGGTTCCTTAGTTAGTTTTAAAAGATCTTTCCTTTGCTGTTCACTAGCTGCAATCATGTCTTTGAGGTGTGAAATTCTGTCTTCACATTCATTGAGATGATTTGTCAGCTTTTGATAGAATTTTTGATTTCCTGTATATTTCTTTGTATCTGCTTCATAATGTTTATTTCTTCATTCAGAGTTTCCATCTTTTTGCATTGTTCCTCTAATTTTTTAACTGTGTCTTCTTTAGATATGTTTAGCATTTCTTTCATCACATTTATCATTTCTTCTTTTTCCTAGGAGATTATTTCTGATTTGAGTTCTTTTTGATTTGATTTTGAGCTTCAGAGTTTTTTCTTTCCTTCATTTGACATCATTTCAGGAATTTCACATGTATGGCTTATATTTTCTCTTGTGTCCATGTTTCCTTTGCTTGGTTGTGTTGGGCTGGAATTTTGAGATTGCATTTTGCTCTTTCATTTTGACATTTTCCTATATTTCTGGGTTTTGAGTGATGTTTCCCTATGCAGTGAAGATCACCTGGCTCACTTTTGGCTCCTGGGTCAAACTGCTGGCAACTACTAGCCAGTTGGAGCTTGGTGGGCGTGGGGCAGCTGGGCTCATGAGGACTCCCTTGTGTCCTCTGGTGATTTCAGATATAGGGTGTGGTCTTCCTGCTTGGGAGTAGCTTTAAGAGGCTTCCTTGTGCACTGGAATTCAACTGGAGCACCCAGTCAGGGCCTGGGACTGGCTTCTGGCCCTTGCTGTCTGTTTGAAGTTCACTGGGCGGGCCCAGGTAGGCCCTTGTGTACCTCCCATGTGTTTTAGGGTGATTTCAGATGCAAAGCATGATCTTAGCACCTGGGAGCGAAGTTCCAAGGTTTCCCCATGCACTGAGATTAAACCCAGGCATGTGGTCAGGGCCCAGGACTGGATTCTGGTTCCTGATAGCTGCTTGGAGCTCACTGGCCATGGCCCAGCTATACGGGTGACATTTTAATGAGAACATGTGCTTAATTTTTTTTTTTGATCCTTGGGATCAAATTCATTACCTCACACTTACCAGGCAAGCGCTTGAGCTACTGAGCTAAATCCTCAGCCCTTAATGAGAACATCTGATAAAAGGAGTGTCTGTGTATTTTACACTATGACATAGAAAAATAGCTGAATATTAAGTACACCATTGAATATAAATTAAACAGGTAATCAAATTTCAACTTTATAAAGAAATCATGCCTTTTGACTGGACTGAATGAGGTGTTAAATGACCATAATTATAACTGGAATTTGTAAAAGAACCAAAAAATGAGGTGTCTGGGCTGTTTTTTAAGTAATCCTCTATTTGTATTAAGCTCTGTTTCAACCTACTATGACTATCAAGAAAACATAGTTCAGAAAACAGATAATTGCCTGTAATAGTCTACTTCCAAGTCTTTTTCTCTTAGCTTATTGTAAATTCATATTTGTTATTTTAAGACAAAATTCAAAACTCTATTTTCCCCCAATTTCTTTCTCCACGTAGGCAAGATCTCCAAATGGAGTATTTACTTTTTTGACATTAATTAATAAGTAATAGAGCCAGAATCTGAAGGATCGTTACTTTTTATATTACTTAGCCAAGATGACTTGAAAAAAGTGTTGTTTTATTTCTGCTAGAAATACTAGGCATGTTAAATAAGTCCTATCATCAGGTTTAGATATCTAGGTTCAAATCTAAAATTTAATAAATTTGCTTATGTCTCGTCAAAAATATTTTACAGCATTAGCTTAAGCTAAATGTCAACTAGACCTACATTGTATAGTTGGCTCTCACTAAATTATGAGTTGCTTTTCCTCATGTCTAAAAATTAGTGAATAAAGAAATTTACAACCATTACAAAACAAAATAAATAGAAATATTTCTTCCTCAATTTCATTAATCTTTCCAGGCATAAGCTTATTTTTGGATCTAAGGTTGAATACTGCTCATTATAGTTGCTAAGCACACACCCTCACCCCCAGTCTAAAGAAAGAGATTTTGTACACCTTGTATGTAAATTTATCTCTAAGAATGATTGTTTGATAAATATTGTTGTGTTCTCTCTTCCTATCTAGAGTCTACCTTTCTTGGAAAATGAAGAAGAAGTGATAAGTCTACTTGACGCCAATGCAAAAGAAGGTATAAGAGAATATTTGTAGAGGAATTAGTCTTATGTCCTAGTCCCAACCTCATAATTTACTATCAATAGTAACCCCTGGAAAATAATTTAACGTCATTGAACCAGTTTTAACTCTTTTGTAAACTACGAATAATTCCTTTTCTTGCTTCATAATTTCCTTTGAATATTGATTCAGATAATATACCTGAAAGAGCTTGATAACTAAATAAACTTGAAGGATACAATATTATGATGTGTCTGGTTTTAACGCAAAAATAATACTCAAAAACATCTCAGAGAGATTTTCTGTAATGAGTTTAGATTTTTCCATAGAAGATATTTCTTAGAAAGTAGGCTCTTGGTTGTTTTACTAAACTTAATCCTCCATAGCTAGGCTTAGATTTTATGGGACATGTATTATGAAATATTTTTATTTAGTTGTTAGTGCTTTTCCTAAATCCAAAGCATATTTTGATATAATTGCATGATATTATTCTCCTACAGAGAGATTATTCTAAAAAGATTGAAATAGTAGGTATAGTAGGAAAGGATGATACTATCTTCTAAGAAGTAAGAGCATACTAGTCATGGTTAAGATGCTCCTTCAGTAGCAGATTTGGACAGTGTGACTCAGAAGACTCGAAGAATACCCCGTCATTCTGTTCTGGGACACATTTAACAGCATAAGACTTGTAAATTATACTTTGTCCTACCCTCTTTCATCTCACATTATGTATAACAAATCACTGCCTTTCTACAGACAAACAGGTGGTCCAGTCCAAGAAAAACACCTTGTTTTCCTCACTAGATGAGATGTTGATGACTGATTTTGGAGAAGAACTTCAAGATTCTAGTGACCTCCTTTTGAATGCTGTGAAGAATCCATCAAATGTTTTACCAGATTTACGTGACCATGATTATATTGCCCTGAATATTTCTTCTCAACAATATGTTGCAAATCCTATTGAAAATGTTATGCCCCACTTAGGTATGGAAAGCAGTGGAGAGTGCAAACTATTTCCCTGTTTCTTTCCTAACTCTGTTACTAATTTGGTTGAGGAATCTATTGAAATTGACCCTTCTACTTGAATTTAGTTTGAGCTTTCTCCAGTTTAACTTTCTGACAAAGAAAAAAAAAAGACAAGAACTCTTACCTTTGTGCATTATATTTTCTTGTCTTGCTTAATTTGTTTGTTTGCTTTTTGTTTTTAAAAAAGTTTCATTTTTTGCCCTCTCATATCTAAGCAAATATCATAGTTGAGGTAAAATTCAAGCCACAAAAAAAGGATAGGAAATGCATCAAAATTCTGAGTTAACAAAAAGTCATTTTTTAAAAGCAGCATTCTTCCAATTCTTTGGGTCCAGCACAGAAATTTGTGTTAATTACCAAAGAGTACAGTAGTTTTCTAAATAAATAGTAAATCTGTGTGGTTAATTTCTACTTATAGGAAAAAAATATGTCACTAAGGGTTTCTTGAGACAGATCTGGTTTTTAAAAATAAGCTCATTTGTTAATTCTGAAAAAGGACAGCTCTAATGTTTTCTCTAGATTTTACAGGACATTTACTTTACATTTTACAGTTTTTTATGTAAGTTTTATTGACTGTACAGCTTTTACTTACTAAGGGAAATTAATTTTCAACATAAAATGAAATTTTATACACCAATTATTGTAAGAACTGTAAGAGATGCTCTAACCAAGTTTTTCCCCAAACTTAAAGAAACCTAATTACTTAATATAAATTAAAAAGGTACATTTCAGTCAACCATTTTCAACTATATCTCCCATCTCTGCAGTTGCTGCAAGTTCATGCTAACATGAATGTAATTCTTTTATTATTAATTATGCATCAGTAGTGTTATGTTTTTAGTCAAACTGAAACAGTTTGTATACAATCTTTTCATACAGAAGCATTAATATTTGCTCAGCCAGAGGGTTCCACAACATTTAAACTCTAGATTATGTATTTAGTAGAGGAAACATTATAAAAACAAAGGCAAGATTTCTGATTTTCAGAAGATTCAAGGTAAATTTTTAAAACATCAATTTTTAGCACTTTTATACTCTTTTATTCCCTTCCACTAAACTCTGCTTACAAACTTATTGTATGCTTTTTTGTTGGTTTACAAAGTTTCACATGTGCTTCCAGTTAACTCATCATCAAAGGAAAAGAAAGATCTTTATCATTGTTTTCAACAATCGTATCTTAAATAGTGTATGTTCACTTAACTATGATGGTTTATATGTTTCAATTTCTTATTTTATTTTGTACCGGGAATTGACCTCAAGAGCTTGTGCTTGCCAGGCAGGTGCTTTTGCCACTAAGTTATATTCCTGACCCTATGTTTGAAATTCTTAAAAAAAAAAGTCTAGTCTTCATTTTATTGAGGACTGAGCATTTATATATGGGAGTGAGCCTTGTATAATTTATAAATTGAAAAATAAATTTTGTTGTCACTGTTATTTCACATTACACAAAGTTAATAAAGAATTTAGCATGCATTTCATAGTGCCTCTTTTGTGGTAGATGAGACTTTATGACAAACAAAATGAATACAGCTTTTAGACTGCATTATTAAATGGGTAATAAAATAGCACACATAGTTTACTATTACATTTAAACAGAAGTAAAACTGGCCTAGGGGACCTAATGTTCAACAAGTGAATATTGCAACTGGACTTTTCTTTGATTTACTGTCTTTTTTTTTTCTATAGACCACCTATAAAAAAAGAAGTATCCTTATGCTAAGTGGGATGGTTATATAAAGTAATCTTGATAAATTCTCTTGGAGCCTGATCACTAAGTAAGTTCCAAAGAACATGGATTTTGCTCTTGTTCTCTGAAAGAGTCATGGCTCCTTATACTCAGCCAGACACGTACCCAACTGCTTTGGTTAACATTCCTAAAAGGGTACATGTCTGAGAAAAGGTGAAATGTTTCTTTGGGCAAAAATTTGGTTACATAAAAGGATGTAGCTTCTCCTTAATTAGAAACACTATATGAGTTGTGAAATATGTAATGGAATTTATTTTGATATTAGCTTACTCAATGAAGATTTAGAAGCTACTAACAGCTGTCCCTGAAATTCCAAATTATGAAAAGTTCCCTCTTTTACAATAGAAAATTTTGAAATGGGTTAGCCAATCTTACTTGGCCTGGTCAGGACGTTGTCCTTTAAAAATGATTATTGCTAGTAATGTGATTGTTGCACACTGGAGAAAGAGATTCACTCCTTTACTTTAGTTCAAGAAACAAGATTTTAAGGAAAGATAAGTCTTTTTGAATGTTTTACTCTTGTGCTATAGCCAAAAACAGAGTAGAATGAACAAAATATTAAAACTCATCAATTAAGATGATAAATTACCATTTACTTTTCCATTCTTCTGAATCATTTTATTTAACAATATTGAGAGCATGTTTTTTGCCAAGAACTGGAGATAAAGAAATGAACAAGACAGGGTCCTAATCACGGTGGCTCTTATACTTTTAAAGGAGTCAAATTAATCATAAAAGTATATAATTTTACTTAGATCAAAGAAAAACAATGGAAAAGGAGATTTATTTTGCTTGTTTGCTTATTATCTACTCTTCTCAAATTAGAAGTTACAAGAGCAGAAATTTACGACTTTTTTCTGTATAAGTGTCTAGAATGTATGTTTATTGAGTAATGAGTCAAGTTATCTGTTAAATAGAAAAAGCTATTTCTTAGTGCTTGGGCAGAACTACATAATTTTGGAACAAAGGATTACCTTTTCATCCAGTGAAATTTCTGAGGTGATGCTTTTTGTTTACTCCACTCAGAACCAAGAAATATTCCTAAGGTGAAAGCTTGAAATAAAGCAAAAGGCCCCACATGTTTTGGAAGGTCTTACCCTGCCCTGTTTCACTCGGAATTAAACTAGGCAAAATGATATTAATCATACTTTTGTGATCAAAATGATACTAATCATATTATATTTCTTTTTCTTTTCTTCAACTATTGTTTATATTTCTCCCACATTTCTCTGCTGAACTGACAAAGAACTCAGTCTGAATACTACCAAGAGCTTCCTAATCTAATTTTTTAAAAAATTTTAACCTGATAGTTATTGTTTTACAACATATATACATTCCAAAAAATTGATTAGAAAATTTCTTAATATTTTAAGTAACATTAGTTTTCATAAAATACAAAAATCACAAAACTAATGAAGTAAAAATACAAACAATACTGAAAAAGCACCTACTGTTGACTTTGCTAAATCACATCATATGGTTTAGTATCAGCACAGTTTACTGATCCAGTGTTGTCACAAATAGCTAGATGTTTAAATATGTCTTGTCTTCTCTTGTCTTGTCATGTCTGTCTTTGTCTTGTCTGTTCTTGCCCAATCCTTGGTAGTGCCAAACAGGATAAGCCTTATGAGAAAAAGTAGTAAACAACTTAAAATCATGTATGTTGCAGTAACCAAGCACATCAAGGAGGCAAGTTTTGGTGATCTCTGAAAATCTAGGAATTCATCCTGGTGACTTCTTTTAGGTCTGTTTCCTTTAACTTTGTTTCTCTGTTTCCCAATTTTATCCTGTTGTGACATCATCCTTGTTGCCCCATGCTCAATGGGAATGGAGGTCATATTTCACTATAGATCATAAAAACCATTTTTTTCATTTCAGCTAACATACCCTTGGGGAGTATTTGAATTTCCTAACTTCCTGATCATGGAGTTGATTATCATACCTTGGTAGAATATAGTTATTAGGAACAAAAGCTACTAAGTACTCTTCAAGAAGTGCTCAAGCCATGAGACCATGATTTCTAAAGTGTAGCTAATGGAGCTGAGATTATATGTTGCAGACAAGAAAAAAATGAAGGTAGCAACTAATTACTCACTAGTAAAACATTAATGAGTCACAGAAAGGATATCATATACTAGTTTAACTTTTCTAAAAGGATTGAAGGTGATATCTCTCTTTTATACTTCTGGGCCATTTCATGTACATTAGAAGACACTTATACACCACTTAGAATTCTAGTTTGTTACTGAATTCTGGATTTCTTCAAAGCAAGAGTATTTTTTACTCACCTTTCTATGTTTGGTACCAGCTCAACATCAGAGACAAAGAACACATCCAACAACTAAATGAATTAGAGTATGAATAAAAGAACACACTTTGTAGTGGTGTACAGTTTTAGAAATTGGAAAAGGTTTTTTTCAAGAAAAGCTAGAGTTAAGCTGGACATGGTACTACACACTTGTAAATCCAGTACTTGAAAGACTGAGACAGCAAGAATATGAGTTTCTCACCAGCTTGGGCTACATCAAATTTCGGTCCAGCCTAGACTATACGGCAAGACCCAGTCTTTATATAAATAAATAAATAAATAAATAAATAAGCAAACATTATAGAGTCATTCTTTAAAATATATAGCCTCTAAGGCTTTGCAGACTTGTTTGAGTCTTATTTGAGTGCTACACCATGAATATGTGAACTGCAAGATCTTAGAATATTCACTAGCCAATTAGACAAATACTTATTACACTTTCAATAGATTTCAACCACAGTTCAAGGCAAGTGAGACATATCAATAAACAATGCATAAAGCTATTCCCTCATATGGCTTGAATATTACATTTTAACAAATAATAAAAATTAGAAGTAAATAACTAGAAGTAAATTATATTTCCCACTCTTGCATTCTCCACACTAGAATGTCATGGATATTTTAGTCTAGGTCTGTGGTCTTTGATAATAAAACCAGATGATGAGATATTGGTGTAGTGTTTTGAAGATTGAAAAATGATTATCAAAATAAGAGTGCTTGAGATAAATGTAAACATGTATTTAAAATATCAATGTATCCAAGAAGTAGTCTCTTAGATATACTGAACTTAGATATACTGAACTTCCACAAGAAATTTCAGTACCAGACTGAAGAGGAAAAGGCAGCACAATGAGGCACAAAAAGATGTGACAAAAGAGAAAGGAAGAGTATTACTTTCAAGATTAGGTATATGATAACAGGAAGTATAAGCATAGGACTATGAATAAATTCAAAATGTTTATATTGATTACATTCATGAAGATACATTTGCCTCCAGTTCGTGT